TTATTAAACAGGGCTATTTAATGATTATTTTTATAGTAATTATTTATTAGTTTAAATAATTTTTTGTATAAATTAATATAATTGCTAAATAAATTTTATTTATTCTTGTATATCTTTTAATAGGTATCAGCATTGCCACCGGAAGAAAAAGGTTCTTCCAAACATACTATTAATCCAATGCACATGAAAGCTCTTATCTGGAAAAATTTTTTATGGATGTGGCGAAACGTCGGGTAATCAAATTTGTTTAATCACATTTCTATATTAAATTTTCTTTCACTTCTTAGTTTATTGTCTAATTGTAATTTTTCGTCTCTCATTTTCACTTACATCTTACAGGATGATGTTATTTATCATTGGTTTACCCGTCGCCCAAATAGTCCTCTTCTGCATCTCCATTGGTAAGGATCCCATAGGATTAAAATTAGCCGTTGTCAACCACGAACTCAACAACAGTATGCAACCGTGCATTCCTCCTGGAACCGGATGCGATTGGTCGCTATTAAGCTGCCGGTATCTTCAGCACTTACAGAAAAAAACTATACAGTTGTTACCTTACAACAGTGATGAAGAAGCCAGAAATGCAGTGATAAAGGGATGGGCATGGGGCGCTATAACGTTTCCATCCAACTATTCCGAAGCTCTCATGGCAAGGATAGATTACGGCAGAGATGCCGAGGAATGGGATATTAATTTCTCGGAGATGGAAATTATCATGGACATGTCTAGTAAGTCTTTGAACGTAAAATAGAACGAAATAATTTTTCATGTTTTTATGTAGCATTCTAAATGTTGCATTTTAAAAGACTCAATCTTAAAAAATAAATATCTTCCGATAACACTGCCCGACGTTTTAAGACTTTTTTTCTGCTGTTTGAATAAAAGATACCATTTCCGATGTATTTTCGCGCGCTGAACACGAATCCGGCAATAAAATTGCTCTATCACGTCACATTTTTTAGAAAAGTGAAGTTAAAAATGTCAAAATTGATGTTTTTTGACATATTTCTGATTTTTTTGCTAGCGAAGTAAATTTTTTTTCTACTTTTATTTACGGCATCTTAAACAGCCAACTTTTGTCTTTAAAATATATTTTTTTTAACACCGTACGTTTTTTTTTTCACCGAGATAATCTCTGCGTAGACACAAAGAAAAACGTTTTGTGCCAAAAATGTCTTTAAAGAAAAAGAAGTTAATAAAAATTTTTTTACTTAATTTAAATTTGAAATTCTTTTACAAATGTTTAAAATTCCAAAATTAATATTGTAAACAATATTTTTTAAATTAAATTAAAGCGCAAATGACAAATTTTAGTGATAAACGTTTTTTGCGACGACAAATTTTTTCATGTTGGATCCTCCACTTTGAATTTCGAAAATTTGATTTCAGATTCGGATTTAGTGACCTTAAAAACTTTGCTACTAAAATCATTACACAGTTCTTAAAACTTTTTCTTGAAAAACATTTTTGGCACAGAACGTTTTTTTTTTGCGTGACTACGCAGAAATTATCTCGGTGGAAGAAAAAACGTACGGTGTTAAAAAAAATATATTTTAAAGATAAAAGTTGGCACTTTAAGATGGCGTAAACGAAAGTAGAAAAAAAATTTACTTCGCTAGCAAAAAAATCACAAATATCTCAAAAAACGTTAATTTTGACACCTTTAACTTCACTTTTCTCACAAACCTGACGTGATAGAGCAATTTCATTACCGGATTCGTGTTCAGCGCGCGAAAATACATCGGAAATGGTATCTTTTATTCAAACAGCAAAAATCACGTCAAGCAGTGTAATTGATAAAAAAAAATTACATAATTTTTATTTGAGAATTCTAATATAAACGCGTATACTACTCTAACGCGATATACCTTCGCAGATCAACAAATAGGCCAGTTATTACAAAAAGATCTCTTATACGCATATCTGGATTTCGCTAAGGAAGTCACTGTGGCCTGCAACTATAGCGAGAAGTTAACGAGCATACCCATAAGCGTAAGTAAACAATTACGGGTGCGTTCCGATATTCACTGCCAGTGTTGAAAATCTATACTGCACATAACGTATACTGTATAGTTTCAGCACTGGAAGTGAATATCGGAACGCATCCTATGTTAATGTGTTCATATAGGGTCGCCAGCAGTTACAACAAAACTAACGCTTGACGAACGCTACACGACTGTCAACTGACGGCCAAGATTCTATCAGCCAGTACTGGGCCATCACCGGCAAATAACTGGCTAAAAGCTGGGCCCAATACTGGGATCATCCATCCAGTACTGCACCAGTAGTTTGCCAATACTGCGCCTAGTATTTCTTCTCGAGAATTCTTTCTTGAGAAATTCTCGAAAAAAATAAATTTAAATTTCACACTTCTTGAGAAATTATTGTTATTTCTTGAGAAATCAAAAATTGTGTTCCAAATTATTACTGATATGAGAACTCAAAGCTTGAAACAACTTTTCGATACATTGTGTACCATTAAACCTACTTTCACGTAAAATGAGTTCAATTTTTCCATTGCAAATGATTTTATAACAAAAAACTATTTCGACTGGCTAACGTAACGTTAAATGCTTCCTGTTTGTTTTAAAGGATATTTCAAACCACACAAATTTAATTTCTAGAAAAAAAGAATAAATAGAATCGTTTAAATTTATTTTAATGATTCACAATTTATGAGAGAACACAAATATTTCAATTTGTATGTAGCAATTGTTAGTTGAAAACAAGTGATTTTTCTTTTATAAAAAGTTTTTTAAAAAGTTATATATTTAAATTAATTTATAAAAAATTATTTGAGTACAAATGTATTTTATTTCTCATCTCTATTAAGTATGTAATATACTTAATAGTATAATTATAATATGTACTGTATATTTCTATATAAATTTATATATATATGTATAAGTATTAATATAAAATACAAAGATGTAATTAATCGTAAGAGTTAAATCATGTTTTCTTTTATTATATAGAATTTTTTGAGATTTCTCGAGAAATCTTGTGAAATTAAAATTTCTCTATTAAACCTATAGTGTCAAATTTAATTATCGTTGTAGTATAAAATAACGATATATTTAGTAGGAGCATTGGCGACTCACAATAAGCTAAATTTGACAGTATAAATTTAACAGTGTGTATTTCTCTTTCTCTAGAAATAAAAAATGTCGAGAAATCAGAAACAATAACTGCGCCAGTACCTGGACTGTGGCAACCAGTAATGGCCCAGTACTAGACCGATTATAAAACGTATACGGAAGTAAAAATAATGTTTTGTTTAATTTCTGTCACTATATGCATAGCGTTTTAATATTATAATTTTTGTTACGTTATTATAAATTATTATTTACAACAATTTATATCTATTGTTATAATTGTTACGTTAGTTTAAAACGCCAATCTTCGGACCTCATGATCCTAATTTCACGGATTTTGCAGCACCCGGAGTGATTCTAACGTAAGTATATTTACCTTAATGTCAACATAATACAATAATGTACATATACATTAAATTTAATTGTCTTCTTTCAAAAAAAACTTGTTGACATTAAAAGAATTTGTTTTTTCAGAATTATTTTCTTTCTCTCAGTCGCATTGACGTCGGGCGCCATGCTGCTTGAGAGAAATGAGGGTCTGCTAGAAAGAAGCCTTGTATCAGGTTTGTATAAACAAAAGAGAAAAAAATTTTAAACCGTAATAAGTAAAAGATGTATTCCGATCCTAGATAAATCCTAGATAAATCCTAGATAGATAAATCTTGGGATACACACATATCTGCTGGAATTTAAATTAATAAATCTTGGAATTGATAAATAATTAATTTTTTTTTAATCTTATACAGGCGTCACTGGTACGGAGATTCTCTTTGGTCAAGTAATCACGCAATTCACGGTAATGTTCGGGCAAGTTGTGATGGTCCTTATAGTCTCATTCGCGATCTTCAAAGTTACTTGCGAAGGCGACATCGGTTGGATCACCGTATTAATCACCCTTACGGGTCTTTGCGGCATGTGCTTCGGTAATCCGTTCATTATCTTAATATTGAACCGTTGTGTGTGTGCGTGAAGTATCAAATCCCAAAAGTTTTACAAAACTTTCTTACATAAAATTTTTTATAATTATTATGTTTAAATGATATAATTCTTTTGCAAAGATATACTCAATTTTTATTAAATGTTCGCGATTATTATCAAGTTACAATAACTTTGAAAAAACGTAAAAAGAAAAAATCGAAGATTTTTTATATAGGAGATTATGAAAAAAGTGTTTTCTTGCCAAAGAAAACGTAAAAACGTTATACTACACTTTTATTGACATATACTTTGTTTCTTCAAAAATTGCTCGAAAACAAATTTAATTTTCAGGATTTGTAATTGCCTGTTTCTGTGACAATGAAAGGAGCGCCACATATGTGGCGATGGGTTCTTTTCTACCAATTGTGATGTTGTGTGGCATTATCTGGCCCATAGAGGGCATGCATCCCTTTTTGAAATATATTAGTTTTTTATTACCCCTAACAAAGAGCACAGATTCGATGAGATCAATGCTGGCCAGGGGTTGGACAATATCAGAACCGTCGGTTTATTACGGCTTTATCTCTACTCTCATCTGGATCAGCATTTTCATGAGCTTGTCGATATTGCTAATTAAATTTAGAAAGGGTTAATTTAAAGAAAATAATCTTATAAATATTGTATATATAAAATGGAGTTCACCAAATCTCTCTATATAAACTGTAATTTAATGAAGTTAAATAAATAAAATAATTCTAATTGTTATACATATTTAGTAATTATATTACGTACAATCTAATTCATGTAAAATTAAATTAGATTTCAATTTATTTAAATAAAAATCTTCTCATTTTTTGTTATTATAATTATTGTCAGATATTCTTGGAAAAAAACTAAATCAGCTTTCTTAAACATCCGAAGTTACACATATTTGTATAAAAAAGTATTATATTGTTGTATAATTCATAGCATATAATATTAAAACAATATAAATGTATAATGTAATATTAAAAATCTGAAACATTTCTAAATGACTTGCCGTGTTTGCTGATGAAAAAGACAGAAGACTTGTAACCAATTGTATAAGGTAAACATTGCTTGCAATATTTCATTGCGTTTGACGTGCAAACCATCTAGGAAGAATCTCACAAAGAAGACAATGATCTCCACAATGATGACACAGAGTTGCATGAGCAACCATGGTGTATGTAGCATAGGATATTCCTGCCAAAATAAAGCTATGTATTTATTTAGAAGTAATGGTTGCTTTTATAAGTTTTTATATATGTATATATATATATAAATATCATAATATATACATAAAATATCATATAATTTTCATAACATTTTTAAATAAATGTTATTTTTTAAATACTTTTTTACTTACTGTGATCGCGCCTAACATAATTAAAGTATAATGCTCGATTCCCAGGATTGACGTCATTAACTTCAAATCTCTCTCGACAGTAAAGGGTACTGCAATTATTATTTATCAATTTACAATTTATTGACTTCCTGATTGCAGATGTATAATTAAAAAATTTTCAGTTATTGAAATACTATCTAATAATACAATAATTATTACCTTCTTGATTGTTCCTATGGTGAGATGACATTCTAGGAATTTTATAATTTATTGTACGTATTATGTCAAAAACCGTGACTACCTGACGAAATTTTTTATTAATAGTATGTAGCACTTAAATGTTCATTTATTTTTTTATCTGATATATGTATTTAAATTAGCAAGATGGGAATATTACGATAGACTAACGGTCCCAATGAGGCCTAGAACAATCACATATAATGAGCTACCCATTACATAATTATTGCACAAGGAACAGGCCATTCGTCCGATTTTCTGCAAAATAAAACTAGTGTTATTACGACAATAAGAATAATTGTTTTTGAAAATTGTAAGAAATATTTAATTACTAAGTGTCCACTATGGACTCTAAAGTTTCGTCGACTGTGAAAGGCCATAATTCACTTTATGTCCCAATTTTTTGAGTCTGGAAAAATTGTGTCCCTTCTTTAAATTAAAATGCAAATACAGAAATGCAAATATGTTAAATAGTTTAAACGTACCGTTTAATAACGGATGTGAGTTCAACAAATTTTATTATATTTGCACGTTTACTTTCCGAAAATTTTAGAGGTTTGTTTTTCGCTCTATGAAATTGCACCTTCATGCATTTTCAATTATCGCAATTTAAACATGAGCTATAAATTAATATATGTGAATTTGAACGTATTTAATGTAATCAATTATTCCAAGCAAATCAATATAATTGGATCAAACACACTCGATATAATTTTAACATAAAGAACAGATTTTTGACAGGATTATTTCACACGAGATATTTATTCGTACAAATACATAAATTGTATAAATAATATGTAACGTGTTAATAAAAATAGTTTATAGTTTTTAAAATCGATTCCACGATCGATTTGCGTAGAATCACAAACAAAGTCAATAACGCGAAGTTTTGCAATTATAACAAAATAATTATGTAATTCAATTTTTTCTTTTTATCATCGTTACATTACATTGATTAATTGGTTTTCCATTCTACATTACTTTTTAATCCTTATCTCGTTATATCGTTTTGCAAATTTATCAGTTTGCTGCGTAATTTCTATATTCTTTGTTACATGTGTATGCTATTTATTACTTAAAAAATAATATAAGCCATATTTAACATAATGTATGTGCATTTTAAGTATACTAATACATTTGGCTGATAAAAACAAATTTATCAATCATTTACGTGACCTATCAATTCCAATGGATCATCAATCAAGTCGCGTTCAAACCATTCATAAAGATTATCTGGAAAGAATGAAAGAACATCGAACAAAAATGGTACATTAATATAATATTATAATATTTACATACATTATAATGTAATGTATTTTTTTTTTAATTGCATACGTATAGTCCACGCTCAAGGCGTGGGGGGAACATACATATAATACACAAAATATCTACTTTATAGATAGAAATATAATTATACGTAGGTAGTTCGATAAGTCAATGACATTTTAAAAGAAGACTATGTTAAAAAATAAGTCAAATTTAAAAAAAAGTTTAAAAAAGTTATTCATTCACCAAATTTTCCTTGAACATAATAAGTTCTTCATATTTTTTTTAATAATATGAATTCAATATACTTCTATATTATTCAATTTTTTGAAAAACGAATTCTTTTTCACAATTTTGTTTATCTTTTTGCAGTTAACTGAAGCTAAAATATCACCTCATTTATTTAAGACTCATTCCCAAGTAATTAAGAAAGATGAGAAATTGCTGAAAAAGAACATTTTTTACCATGAAGGTTTCAAGATAGTCAGAGCAATGTCGTTGGCATTATTGATATTGATTTTGTGTTATTATGGATCAACGGAATACAGTGTTTTGCAGAATGGGCAGATTCTTCGTGGTTTCCCCTCCAGAAAGGCTGTCTTGACATTTAGTTTCGGCTATTCCATCTCACGCACCACACTATCTGTAGTTACAGTTGGCATGCTTATTTATTCCATTTTAATGGTAAACAAGATTATTATCAACTGATATATCTAATTTTTTATATACTTTTCTATGTTTCAGTTTCATTTTATAAATCTTGATTACTTAAAAATAATATAAGCTATAATTAACATAATGTATGTGCATTTTAAGTATACTAATAATTTGGCTGATAAAATAAATTTATCAATCATTTACATGACTTATCAATTCCAATGGATCATCAATCAAGTCTTATTACGCATTTTAGAAGCAGCCGCAACTTAGTTTGCCTTTCATAGGCTTCTTTTTAGCCGAGTTGGTGTGCGATTTCTGTGATGTGATTATAATGATCTGGTATTTCTTCGAACATCTTCAAATACAAACTGCGTTAGTTTATACTGCAGGACTTCTTCTGTTGCTTTGTAAATATTTTTATCCGTCTTTCATTTTTTACGGAGAAACAATTATTGCAAACAGAAATCTGATACATATACGGATTGTCCCATAATTCACTCGACAACGCTCGTAGGCAGGTAGAGCGGACTAAAATGAGTCCGCTGCAAAAAAACTGCAAGAAACAAAAATTGTTTATTTTCTTCTCGTAGAACTTTAAGAATTTTTTTAGAATTTTTTATCAATGTTATAGTACTGCATTTTCTTATTTTTACTAACATGAGAAAATAAGGTATTAAAAAATTCTGAAAAAATTCTCAGTACTTTATGAGAAAAAAATAAACAATTTTGTCTCTTACAGTTTTTCAGTTTGTGAAGTTAATACTATTTGAGAAAAAAATTATTGAAGACCAATATTCAGCAATTTTTAGTAATTAATATCTTGTTAACTATTGCAAAAATTACAAAATGGTAAAAGACTTTTCGACTCAGTTTAGTCCGCTCTACCTGCCCACAAGCGCTGTCGGGTGAATTACGGTAGGTCCCTATAATGAGAGTCAAGACATGAGGGGCGACGCCCTCGTGATTGATCGTCGCCATTTCTAGGCGCTTTCGATGGTTAGTGAATCTGTGAATTAGTGTGAGCAACCGTTTCATGGTGTAGTAGTACAAACAGACGCGAACGTGTCTATTTGTGCCACGCGTTATTTGTGCTGTTTCCGGCCGACGCCCAGCAATGACGTCCTTCCGGTCTTATGTCTTGATTCTCATTATAGAGACTCTAAATTACGGGACACCCTGTACGCATCTCCTCTGCTCACAATAAAATAAACGAGCTATTACTATAGTAGTAACCAAGTATATATAGAAATAATTTCAGTCAAAGAACTTTTATTAAAATTTTTATACTTTCTCTCTCTCTCTCTCCCCCCCCCCCCCCCCCCTCTCTTTCTCTCAAACTATTTCAAAAATTTTAAAGATATTACATGAAAAAAAATATCATGTATTTAAGATCTGTTTTATTTATTATTTATTTTATATAGTTTATTACCATCTTTTTATTTGTTTTATATAATAAATACTTATATATACGTCAATTTTTTTATATTTAGTGGCAGAAGTATGGACATGGCTGGATATTGTGTGGCTCTACGAACATCGAAACTTCAAAATATGCTAAACAATGATGATAAATATCAAGAATAATAAAAATCGATAAAAATAAAAATTTCTGATTATTCTCCGAATTTCGTATTCCGTGTATACTGTATACACGTTTTTCTCATAAATCTTTTTTAAACAAATCATGCACATGTTGATTCTTAAAAATTAAAAACATATTTATTTCCAAAACATATAAATTTTAATTTCGTAATAGAATTCATTTTTCATGTCATCAAAATATAATCATTGCAGATTTTTTTATTAATTCTTTATTTTTATATTTATGTTTTGGAAAGAAAGATTATATTAAATTCCATGAAATGAAAATTATATCTTCTATGACTTATATAACTAAGTATTTGGATTATATTGTAAGTTCCCAAGATTTTCCAGACGTATACACGGTAGGACAATCGAAAGCGTTGACCGAACAGTGCGATTTTAAATCAAGTACTCGCACCTCGACACAGTTATCAATCCTAAAAAGACAAGAGTTCACAAATATATATGACAACATTCTGTATATACCTCATAAGTATATGTATACCTCGGACAAAATTTGTCCAATGCATCCTTCAAACTATAAATTTGCGTTGCATTCTTGGATATTTCCTGTATTAAAAATCCTAGAAATGCTTGACAATGCACATCTGTCGCTTGTAAATCAATCGTTGGGTCGATCATAACTAATTTGTCCGGCATGCAATCTCGTTTCCCCACTTTACTACAGAAATAAAACAGAAGTGCTGAAAATCGTATTAATTATTTATCTTTAAGTGTTTACCTACTTACTTACTTCCATCGTGATTTATTGACGACTGATAAATTGCAATATGCGCTGGGATGCATTGCAACTCCGGGAAAGTTCCAAAGCAGATACGCTCTCGCCGCCATCAGCAACAATTCATTGTTCAAATTTTTTGCAATACTTGATAATTCTGTTCTAACAAGTATAAATATAATATTAAAATATAATTTTATTGACAAATTGAAATAAACAAAAAACAATTCAATTTTAAATAGACAAAAAGAATTCGTAGTGATAATATTATGTGACATTTTATATCATACGTATACATGTCTAAAATCACGTTTTATATTCCATAAAAAAAGTATCTTTTTGTTATTATAAACATAAAAATGCATAAAAAATATGTATATATTATTCTAAATATTAATTATTATTAGATTCAATAATCTTATATTTATTACTTGCTGAAAAATTTGCCAATTAATAATTCGGCGATGTGAATATTAGCATTTTGGGTGGTCAGTGCCATTTTAAGATAAATTTCCGATGTGTTCGGTGTACTGGAAGTACGCATCAAATTGATTAAGTATATCTATAAAAAAATTAACTTATGATTATTCTTGTAATTAAGATTATATCTTTATTTTCTTTGAATAAAAAAAAAGAACTAACTAAAATGATAGAATCCATGTTTCATCCAAAAAGTTAAGATTAAATGTGTGCGTGCGTGCGTGCGTGCGTGTGTGATCATTCGCAAATATTTATATTAAAAAAGATAACATTTCATTAAAAATTACTTATTGTTAGTCATTTGTATATCAAACGTAAATTAAATAACAGAATTTTGATATACATTCAAATTTGGTTGTTCTCTTGCTGCAGCCTCGATATAACAGAATTCTTTTCCAGACCAGACCTGCGTAGCTTCCTTCACGAAATAGACATTAATGGAACATTCATCCTCGGAAATCTTCAATTCACCACTTGAATAAATTATAATAATTTGTATATTTCTTGATTAAAAGGAAATCATTAATTCATTATTAAGTATAATACATTTTTACATAAATTAAAAAGATTAATTATTAAATGTTAAAAATATTTGGTATAAATTGAAAATATTAATCGATTAAATATTTTTAAAAAATTTATTAAATTATTTTTATTTGCCTTAATTTATTTTATAAAAATAAGAATTTTATCTTTTTATTCAATAGTTTTCTTAAAAATACTAATTTATTAAATTATAATTACTATCTAATAATAATTGTTAGTACCAGCAATTATCATTGTTTGTTATGGGTGAACAAAATATCGCCGTGACAAAAGCAAGAAAAAGAAAACTGAATAGGACAAGACACGCTGCCATAAACGAACTGAAAAGATCGTTCGGCCATCTCCTTAATTGATTTGCGGTGCCCTTAAGCATCAGGCTGTGGTGTCGAATGCTACGAATCGGATCTTCAACGTATACATACGGAAAATCAATGACCTTGTTTTTATCTTCATTCAAGAAAGGAAGTTCGTCTTCGCTAAAACCTAGGAATTTTGTAATCCTTTTTCATAAATATATATTATTGTTTTATAAATAACATTTATTAACAAAATATTATTTGAGCAAATATTAGATATTTTTATCATAAATATTCTCAAATAGTTAAATGTGACTTTTCAATGACGTACGTCTTATTGACGTTATCATTTAACGTCACCTTGCTATATGGATTATTCCATTATCAAATATTATCATATATGATATAAATACTAACATAAATTTTTATAATTACATTGTGCAAAAACCGAAAAAGTTTTTATGAAGATTTTGTGTCTCTTTATACGTTATACATTATAATTGCAGAATTCTGAGAACTTTCGTAAAACTAAAACTTAAAGAAATATAATACTTTCCCGGTAAACAATTTTTCATGTATGAATATGTATAAATATATATAAACGTATATAAACACGAATAAATATTCATAAACATGTATAATTATACATGAAATATGTCCATACATGTTCATACATCCTTCTTTCTTTTGCAAAATTACTTTTTAGTGTAATAGAAATAATAATAGTAATGAAAACATAAAAAATAATTAAAGGGATAATTTTCGCATTCTCTTTGTTTTAGAAAAAAACAAGTTTAAAAAAATGTAACAAAAATTGTTCATACATAATTATGCATAATTTCATATATATAATTATATGTAAAGTAAATTTTTACTGGATCAGAAATCGAGGCTTATTTCGAGCTAATAATATTTAATATTTAATATACACTTTAAATTACAAAATCCAATTACAAAATCATGAAAGTATATCTTACAAACGTTTCGGCTTACTAAGCCTTCTTCAATGTAGAACATATCAAAACTTAACGGAAATAAAAATTAACTACTCCTCATTACATTCTCAACCATTCACCGGTATATCAGTCTTCACAGACAATCGTCAATTACTTGAAAATACATCGAACATCTTCTATCCAAGGTATAGCTTTAGTCTCAAGTTGTCCGATAATACATCTCCTCTTTACAATTCTCCGAATTCTCAGGTGAACGTCTAGAATTCAGATAGTCACAGATCCGACCATCCATTGTGAGTCCATTCGCATTGTGTATTTTATGATATTCTGAGATGACCATAGATTTCATAATACTAATATAATCAAACATAATAATACGAAAACCAATGGAAACTTACGTCAATGTATATAAAATACCGCCTATGAATTCAACAAAGCAAATCTGATTGAGAGGAAAAATCTGGAACGTTGCTTGCTATTCTTTTAAATTCAACTGATATAAGTATAGGTCATGTCAATAATTACGTGCTCACAATGTCTCGTCAAATCTGTTCGACATAATACGATATCTTTCGCTCACGATATATCGATAAGTCTGTTAGACCTATTTCGATTTTTTCTCTCGCAAATCTCATCAAGTATATTCGAATACACTTTGTCCAATAACTCGGTATCTTTCATTAAATTCAATCCGTTAATTTGTTCTTTAATATGAATCATTTCCGAAATGTTCCTTTTCTTATAATTCTTTTCTAAATCAAGAATATTAACATCCTCCCAATTAAAATCATGATTAGTATCAATGATTTGTTTTGAAATGACCGAATGTTTGGACTGGCCTAATTTTATGTTATTACAATGCTCCCTAATTCTCGTCTGTAATTGTCTTCTTTTTGTTTGCCCAACGTAGGACACATCGCAATTGTTACAATTTGTCCTATATATAACATTATTATTCTTTTCATGCGGATTTCTATCTTTGTGGACTTTTATGAATCTATTAAGCTTATTTGTACATCTATAATCTATAGCCTATCATGTTATTAGATTTATCAATAAATCTTGAAATTTTGTTACAAATCGATTTAACATAAGGAAAAACCATTAGATCTCTCATTTCCTTTTCATTATTAGATTTAACTAGTACAGAATTTTTTGTGCTAACGCTGTTATTCTTTTGTTGATGTAATGAGAATGTAATGAGGAGTAGTTAATTTTTATTTCCGTTAAGTTTTGATGTGTTTTACATTGAAGAAGGTTTAGTAAGCCGAAATGTTTATAAGATATACTTTCATGATTTTGTAATTGGTTTAAAGTGTATATTAAATATTAAATATTATTAGCTCGAAATAAGCCTCGATTTCTGATCCATTTTAAATATATTCGAGCATTTATATCAAGTAAATTTTTACATTTCTTCAAACTTGATTTTTTCTAAAACAAATAGTGCAAAAATTATCTTTTTAATTATTTTTAATGTTTTCACATTACTATTATTATTTCTATTACACTAAAAAGTAATTTTACAAAAGAAACAAGGATATATGAACATGTATGGACATATTTCATATATAATTATATATGTTTATGAATATTTATGCGTGTTTATGTATGTTTATACATATTTATACAAATTCATGTGTGAAAAATTTTTTACCAGATTGTTAGAATGATAAATACTAGGGATGGGAAGTAACTCGTTATTTGTAACGAAGTTACAGTTGGAGTTACTTTTTTTCAGTAACTGTAACTTAACTTCGTTACTTTCTTTCTATCTGTAACTATAACTTAACTTAGTTACATCTTTTAAGTAACTATTAACTAATTTAATAGTTACTTTCATAGTTATTTTATATATTTTAAACTTATTTGTCAATTTAGTGTGCGGTAGTGTCCACTTGGCGCTACAAATACTTC